AGAACTGGAGTTACAGACAGCTGTGAGCTGCCATGTGGTTGCTGGGAATTGAACCCGGGTCCTCTGGAAGAACAGTCAGTGCTCTTAACCTCTGAGCCATTTCTCTAGCTCTCATGTGGGGTTTTGAACCAGAGAAAAAATATAGCACTGCAGAAGAAAGTGCATTGCTCTTATCCTGGGCTTTGGTGTACATTTTACTTATTGACTTGTGTGTATTTTGCAGATGTGTGTTATGTTCGTGTTTGTGTGCATGTGTGTAGAGATCAGACATCAGCCTTGGTAGTGGTCCACATCACTTTTGAAATAGGTCATTTGGACCTAGGCCTCACCCATTCAGCTGCACTGGACATCTTGTGAGACTGGGGATCCTCCTGTCTCAGTGCCCAGTGCTGGGGTTAATAGCAATGTCACTAGGGCTGGCTTTCACATGGAGCTGGGGCTGTAACTCAGAGCCTCATACTTGATGCCTCTGAGCTATTTCTCAGCCCCTGCCTTTAAACTCAAGTTGCCTTTGTGTAGGTATGAGAGGTAGAAATGTATATTATTTGATATTTTGTTGCAAATGGAATAGAACTCCTAGAATTGATACATTGTGTTTGAGGTAGTAAAATTGAGGCCCAGATCAAATACAAGAAGACATTTTCTAGACTAGGAAGAATCTTTGAAATGTTCGTCTGTCTGTCCCCAAAGGAATGTGGTTGGCAGTATTTAACTAGCTGCAGACTCGCTTTTGCTGTAGTTGTTTGCAGATACCTGAATGGTAGAACTGGACCCCACTGAGCAGACAGAACTGGTCCACACTCTGTGCCCACGAGTAACCTGGACATTGGTCCTCTCCAGCTACAGACTACCAGGGGCACCGTGCAGTTGAACATTGGGTTCAATCCTTTGCAGAGAGAATGTACATAGTGAGCACCATGGAGTATCTGAGGATGTATATCAGAAAGGGTGTTGATAGCATTGGGGCTAGTGTGTGATTTGGGGGAGTTATGAACAAGCAGGGATTTGCTCTGAATTGGACAGTTAGGATGTGGAGATTTCTGCCTGGAGCAGAAGAAGACTAGAACGACCCATACTAAGATGCAATGGTTGCCCCTGTTAGCCAGGAGGGGGCTGCTTGGTATTTTGTAGGGTGCACAGTGACCTTATTTTTATCCAAGCTTAGATGAAAATTTTAAGTGTTCTTGTTTGGTCTGGTTTATGGTGGTTATATAGTGACCTCGTCTGATGTTGGTGTTTTATAAGCTTATTTACATCCACTGAGAGAACGACATGGCCTTGATGTGAGCCCCAGGCCAGCCTCTGACAACACGGAGGCCTAACTGCATGTGTCTCAGTACTGGCAGGTGCCAAGGACTACATTTTTAATCTCTCTTGTTAAGACTCATCTTAAACCTAACTACCTATGTGTACTTTTTCCAAGTATATTGTTTCATTAGATACATAAAATTAATGTATAAAAGGGAAAAGAAACTTGTAGGATACTCTAGAAAGATTTGTTATGAGAAATGCTAAAAACATCCTTGAATTAGTGGTGGGTAAACAGTTGAAGTGAGTAGCCCTCAGAACACGTCACCAGAAGAGCCTACAGACTGATCGCCTGTGTTGTTCAGCTCTTGTTCCACAGTAAGGGAACTTTACTGTAACCTAGAATAGCAATACTCACAGACAAAGCCTTGGCCACTGACACACTATGAGTTAATAGGTTGTTCATGCTTTATAAAATGAGGTATGTATATGTTGTTTGCATGATTCTTCACTTAACAGTTCATTAACATACAAAAACATTCATATCAGTTACAGGCTTCCACTGTACAAAGAAAGCCGTGTAGAGTTGTTCACTGGAATTCGATGGTAGTAGAAGATAACAGCAGCATAGAGGGAAGAAAAATGGAATACTGTAGTTACAAACCGAAGGTCATGCGTCCAGACATTATCGAGAAAAGTGCTTTTCTAATGGGAACTATGTTGAGAAGGCCACAGAGCCAAAAACAAACCATCCCAGTTTTAGGACTAGGCATGTAATGAAAGAGATCTCTTGGTAAAGGGAACCATTAGGGGCTTAGGGAGAAACCTGGTCCTAGGGAAATCCCCAGGAACCCCCAAGGATGACACCAGCTAAGACTCCTAGCAATAATGGAGAGAGTATCTGAACTTACCTTCCTCTGTAATCAGATTAGTGACTACCCTAATTGTCATCATAGAACCTACATCCAGTACTGATGGAAGCAGATGCAGTGATCCACAACCAAGCTCTGGGCTGAGCTCCTAGACTACAGTTGAAGAGAGGGAGGAGGGATCACAGGAGCAAGTTGGGTCAAGATCATGGTGGGGAAAACCACAGACACAGCTGATCCAAGCTGGTGGGAGCTCATGGGCTCTGGCCTGTCTCCTGGGGAACGTGCATGGGACCCCAAACTAGGCCCTCTGAACATGGATGACAGTTATGTGGCTAGATCTCTTTGGGGAGACCCTGACAGTGGGACCAGGACTTACCCCAGATGCATGAAATGGCTTTTTGGAACACATTCCCTAGGGTGAGATACCTTGCTCAGCCTTGACCGGTGTGTGTGTGGGTGGGGGGGGGGCGGGGGTAGACCTGCCTCAGCTTACTATGCCAGACTTTATTGACTCCCCGAGGGAGGCCTTACCCTCTCTTGAGGAGTGGATGCAGGGTGGGACTGGGGAAGGGGTGCAGGAGAAGGGGAGGGAGGGGAACTGTGATTGGTATGTAAATGGAAAAAAAAAAACAACAAAAAAAGAATAGGCATGTAAAAATTTAATTCACAAACAAGCAAAAATTATATATATATATAATTTATATATAATATATAATTTAAAGGAAATTGACAATTCCCGTGGTTGCAAGGATTTCAGGGGTTTTAAAATTGTGTTCTCTGTGTTTCAATGTTTTCTTGGTATTGATTTTCAGAAAGCAGATCAGGGGAGGTGGTGTGATGGTACACACCTGTAATTCCAGCACTGGAGAGGAGGGCCAGGACAATGAGGAGTTGAGAGTTATCCTCGGTACTAAGGAGTTGGAGGTCAGCCTTGGATCCATGAGAATCTGTCTCAATAATGACAACAGTAACAATTCAAGTATCTTCCTGGAGCATCATGGACTGCATTGCAGATTTCCTAGAAGAGAGAAGGGAAGAGTGTAGTTTATAATGGTAGTCCCTAGAAGGCCCCTTGCTGTTTATTCATTGACCAGATGTCTTGAGCAGGTGCATAATAGTACACCCACCAGTACACTGGTGTTTTAGATCGACAGTTCTGTTGATTCAGGACAGTAGTTAGTTTGCTTCCTGGGATCAGGAGTGGTGGCTCAGGGTGTAAGCTGTCTGTCTGGATTATTAGGGTTATGGTTCTTGTTTTCTTGCTGTTCTGAAGGTGTCAGCAGTTGGACTTAACTGCAGTGTTTGAAGAGTGTCCGTGACAGGAAAGCAACTTTAGTACAAGGCTTTCAGTCTCTCTCAGTGATTCCAGACCGTTCTCAGAACTGAGTATGTGGATAGATACATTGATAAAGCCATATTTTTGTAAAGGCACTTGGGTAATATTTGTTATTAAGATTGAACGCCACCTAGGAGTTTACACTCTAGATATACTTGCATACAATAGCTAGACATATATCCTCATTACAAGATTGTTGGAAATGCACTTCTCAATAGGAGATTGTAGTACTAAATAGCCATTAAGAATGAGGTAGGAGCTGGGTGTGGCGCATGCCTTTAATTGCAGCACTCAGGAGGCAGAGGCAGGCAGATCTCTGAGTTCGAGGCCAGCCTAGTGAACAGAGCAAGTTCCAGTACAGCCAGGGCTACACAGAGAAACCCTGTCTCAAAAAAAAAAAAAAAAAAAAGTAAGTAAATGAGGAGCGATGGTGAGATGGCATCTGCTTCAGAGCCTATGATCGGAGTTGGATCCCCAGGACCACATGGCGAAGGAAGAGCACCATTTCCCACCAGTTTTTGCTTTCATATGCACACACACACACACACACACACACACAATAAGTAAAGTAGCACATTTGAAAAGAAGAATAAGGCTGGGCGGTGGTGGCGCACGCTTTTGATCCCAGCACTCGGGAGGGAGAGCCAGGCGGATCTCTGTGAGTTCGAAGTCAGCCTGGGCTACAGAGTGAGATCCAGGACAGGCTCCAAAGCTACACAGAGAAACCCTGTCTTGAAAAACCAAAAAAGAAAAGAAAAGAAATCACCTCAAATGTGTTTTGTTGTTGTTTAAATTCTCTGTTATTTCCTAAACAGTTGAAGATTGCTTACAACGAAACATTGTTTGTTTGTTTGTTTATTATGTGCATTGATGTTCTGCCAGAATGTAAGTCTGTGAGGATGCCAGAAGCCCTAGAACTGGAGTTACAGACATTTGTAAGCAGCCATGTGGGTGCTGGGAATTGAACCTGCATCTTCTGCAAGAGCAGCCAGTGATCTTAACTGCTGAGCCATCTCTCCAGCCCCACAATGAGACATAGTTAATGCTGCACGGGAAAAGAGCTATGAGTATTACCTAAGCATGGTGCACTTGCCTGTCATCCCAGCATCCTAGAGGCAGAAGCAATCCAGCAGGAGAATTGAGAGGTCTAGGCTAGCCTGTGCTACATTATGAGACTGACTCAAAAAACAAACAACAACAAAAACCCCAGCAAGCCAGATATGGTGGTGCACGCCTTTAATCCCAACACTCAGAGGCAGAGGCAGGCATATCTCTGTGAGTTCAAGGCCAACCTGGTCTACAGAGTGAGTTCTAGGACAGCCAGGGCTACCCAGAGAAACCCTGTCTCTAAAAGTAAAAACAAAGCACCAGAACGAAAGCTTGTAAATGCTCACAGTGCACAGGTCGCCTGCTGCAGTCCTGCAGGTGAGGCGCAAAGCTGAGTTCCTGGGACTGCCAAGAAAGGAAACACCCAGATTGTATAGTTCTTACGATTTGACAGATTTGACTTTTGCTTGACAACGTGTTTTCTTGCTTTCTCTTAGGCCAGGTTATCAAGGCCTGGGACATTGGGGTGGCTACCATGAAGAAAGGAGAGATCTGCCAGATACTGTGTAAACCAGAATATGCTTATGGCTCTGCTGGCAGCCTCCCGAAAATTCCCTCGAACGCATCTCTCTTTTTTGAGGCAAGTATGTGTGTTGTCGACTTGCCGCACATGCTGGGCTGTAGCAGCGGGACAGCGGCTGTTTGCCACTGAGAACCCGCTCCAGCTTACTTATTTTGGAGCTTGGCTTCTTGAATTGTTTCCCACACACCCAGGGGATGTGCCTATGCTTTCTTAGAAATGTGTCTCTGGCACAAAATGGGCATACCCAAACAAACAGAAGGCACAGATTTAGAAATACAAGTTCTACTCAGGAGGGAAGTAAGACCTACTCAAAGCTGACAGGCCGGAAATGGTGGTGCTGAGCGGTAAAATGGGAAGTTGCGAAGGTTTACAGCTCTCTTCTAACCTCCATCAGGAGCAGTAAGTGGGAGTGTATTGTTTAGCCCAGGTTGAATTAAGTACACATAATTGGCAAAACTTGATTTTTATATAACAAGGTGAAAGTACATCTTTAGTCAGTTGAAGGCCAGATTCTTAAGTTTTAGATTTGAGATGGAAACCTCCTAAATCGGGGGTGGGGGGTGGGGGTGGAAACTGGTAGCCTTGGAGCCAGACCAAATTGTTGTGCGCCGGCACCTTGTAGCTCTGGCTTTTTGCCCACAAGGCAGTTGTCCTAGTATTTCCTGTCTGTCTTTGCACGGCAGCCTCCTCACAGGCTGCAGTCCTAGACGTGGTCATTACCCAGGACTGTTTCCAAGCGTTGCCGGGTGCGGTGTTCTCTTTCGCCACTCTCCTCTATCTTAGCCAGAGAGAGAAAGGTGTAATTAAGAGTCTCATAAAATAACTCTTAAACTGGCTCTGGCCTTCCGTTCTAGATTGAACTCCTTGATTTCAAAGGCGAGGACTTATTTGAAGACTCGGGCATCATCCGTAGAATCAAGCGGAAAGGAGAAGGCTACTCCAACCCGAATGAAGGGGCGACGGTGGAGGGTAAGTCCTGCTGCTGGGGGCCAGTCCTTCCGTGGTGTGAGCAAAGTGCGGAGGCAGCTGTCAGATCTACTTGTCGAAATAAACGCGTTGTGGGCTACAGACAGGGCTCAGCAGTGGTGGGAGCTTGCTGCTCTTTAGAGGACCTGCGTTGGTTCCCAGACCTACATCCAGTGACTCAACACTGACTACTAGCTCCAGTTCCAGAGAATCCAGCACCCTCTTCTGGTCTCCATGGTGGGTGGGTGTGCATACACACAATATTAAAAATTAAAAATAAAATAGTAAATAAATGCATTGAATATATCTTTCAAGAACAGTTTCAGATTCAACATTCATCTAAACACTTCTTTTGCTAAATACTAATTTAATGTGTGTTCCAGGCATCTGGCAACATCTAGAAACTCAAAAATACATGTACAGTAGTCCTGTCTACCAAAGAATTCTCAGTCCCTATATCCCTGGGAGGCATTTCTTTCTGTCTTTCTCACGATAACCATAGGAGGTGAGGAAAATTAGTTCAGTGATGTCATATAATTGATGTCATATAATGGCCCGAGATTGCAGAGCTGCCGAGCGGAGCGGTGGCGTTGGACAGCTGTGTCCGTTCTGCATGGGGTGGCCTGGTATCAAGTACTGTTTTGCCAGTTGCCAAGCCAACCTGGAGGTATTTTCGTGTCTTATCTGAAGACTGGGAAACAGAGTCCTTCCCTGAGCACACTGCGGACCGATCGATGGCCACCTTACTTACCTACCGCAGTATTTGCCCACCTGTCTGAGGACCAGGAGTTGGCTTCATCAATTTTTGGTTTTGTTTTTTATTTTTTTTTTCCAGCATCTGCTGTGTGTCTGACACACACTGGGCAGTTCATAAACGCCTTCTGCACTGTAAGTGTTTGAAGGTGTGCTTACTGAGCGATGTCTTCAAAGGGGAGTTGTGAGAAAGACATGCTTCCAGAAGAAACCGAGTCACTAAACAGGGATGTTTATAAAAGGCCCACTCAGAAGAAAGTTCACCTAAAACAACTAGAATAATCAAGTGGTTTTTTTTTTTTTTTTTTTTTTTTTTTTTTTTTTTTTTTAGCATGTACATACTATTTAAAGCCATATTTCACTACACAAGTCTTAACAGTTCAGGTTTATTATTTTCTTTTTGGTTTTTGGTTTTTGGAAACAGGGTTTCTCCATGTCGCCCTGGCTGTCCTGGAACTCACTTTGTAGACCAGTTTGGCCTCAAACTCAAGAGAGCTGCCTACCTCTGCCTCCCTGGTGCTGGGATTAAAGGCGTGCGCCACCACGCCCAGCTTCATAATATATTTTTAACTGGGGATTTTTGACAACCAAATTAAAAGGAACCACTTTCTCCAATTATAACATTACAAACCTGAGCCACTTGTAGAGGCGGCCTTGAAGCAGGTGAGACTAAACCTTGATTTGGGTAATTATTCAGTGGAAATCATATTTTTAACTTTGTTTGGAAAAAAATTTGGACTTAAGAGAAGAATTGCAAACTGTTCTGGACTGTTTTTCTCCTGGTATTAAGATCTTATGCATCCATAGGGTATTTGTCAAAACCAGGAAGTTTATGTGGTAGACTGCCTCCCAGTTTAGGTTTGCAGTAAGGAGACTGAGGTTTGGGAGTACTGTGTGGGCGATGCTGTGCCCTGTTTAGTCCATCATCATCATCATCATCATCATCATCATCATCATCATCATCAAGAGGCGCATGGTGTGGTGGTGATTCCTGGGCTAGGGTAGCGTCTCCCATGCTTCTCTTCTGTCTCCTTAATCTTTGTAAACGTTGTCTTCTGTTACATCCTCCCTCTGCACCTCACACCCAGTAGTGAGTTTTGCATACAACAGTTGTTACTATGTATTTGATTTATGATAATTTTGTTTCCATTTCACATTTATTAGTTGGAATTCTACTGTAAGGAAGATCTGTCTCTTCTCCCGGTGTTTATTTGGCTCTTTTCTTTTGTTCTCTGGTGAGATGGTTTACTTGGTGTCCAAATTGTCTCAGGTTCGGCTATTAGAAATACCTTCCAGTGAGCTTTTCTCACCACATTGCTGCATTTGTTGATTTTGCTCTTTGTGAAGAAGACTGTTAACTTTTTGTTTTGTCTTCCTCACCTTGTGATACTGTGACATGTTCTAGGTTCACTTGAAGGTTCCCCTGTCCAGTAAACCATCTTTCCAAGGAGCACTGTTTCCTTTCCTTGGAAATCAATATTTAGACGCTGAGTCAGGTGCTCAGGTGTGTTTGGGGCAGGGGGTGGGGGGGACGACTTCATGCAGCCAAAGCTAGGAATGCACTTCAAAAATATAAACATCTGTGTGGATTTCTGTATCAGTTGCATATGTATTAAAACGGTGAGTATGGGCTGGAGAGATGGCTCAGTGGTTAAGAGCACTGACTGCTCTTCCAGAGGTCCTGAGTTCAATTCCCAGCAACCACATGGTGGCTCACAACCAT